TTGTAGTTATATATATTTGAACCAAGAAAAAAAAGTATTTCCAAATAATGCAATTCTAAATATAAACGACGAATTTAAAATAATTAAGTTTTCCTTTTCACATGATTTTTTTTTCTACTTTGATCGGTTGGTGCAACTGGATTTTGCTATTGCAATTTACGAATAACTTCCTAACAAAGTAAAGAGTGATTCAGAAGTAAAAAACAACATAAGAAATGTCCACTGACAACGTTCAAGAAAAGCACAGATTCTATTCATATAGCTAACAAAAAAAGATGATTTGATAGAACCTATCGCAAAATAGAAAAAAGAATACAATAAATAAGGGAACGACCATTTAACTTTTTAACTTAAAAATATTTTTATCCCCAATTTGATGAAAAAAAATATTGTGATCAAGTAGATGACAACAAAAATATATTCTGAATCCAGATTTCCCCCATACCTTATAGTGTTAAATTTTTGAAAAAAATAATTTGATTGTTAGCGTCGAAAAACTAAAAAAAAATGTTCTTTGAGCGAATAAAATTTTCTGACTGAGACAAAAAACCATACCCCCCCCCCTCCCCCCTTTTGAAGTTAAATGGTTGCTCCCTAAACAATATTTAAGAAAAAAACAATAAATAAACAATAGTGAAGACAAAACAAATAATAAAGCAAAACAAAAACGTATAATTGTAAAACAAATTTCAAATATCAAAATCTGCATTTGATCAATTACAAAATCAACATTTCAAAATATCTATCAATAGAAAAATGAATATGTGCCTTTACCTGTTTAACTTATCAAATCCCTTGTATAACCAACGATCAACAGATCCATTTCTTTACTTGTTTTATTTCCTAGAGAAGATGTTGATAACTCTGCAGGGAATCAACACTATATCGCCAATACTTCACGTACACATAGATATTAAAAACATATTAATAGTTACGTAATTTGACTGATCGACGTATACATCAATTTGCTTACTTGCTTAGTAAAATATGTAAAACAAATCGAGTTTTATGTTATTTAATATTTTACGAGCTGGATCATTGTCGCATGCGAAAAGGACAACAGCTGCCACTTGTACGCTGAAAAGGTTTATAAATCTGGTTTAAAGCTTCATGTGTACTGACAATAATTCACAATAATATGACGTAACGAGATTTGGGATGCATTCAAACACGTTTAATATTATCCTATCTAATAACACGTGGCTCAAAAATGCAGATGGCGTTGTCAAAACCTGTTCTCGGCATGTGATAATGTTCTTACAACGTGGAACAAAACATGCAGTAGTTTTAATTACCCATGAAAACATTGCATATAGAATTAACTTCAAAACAAAACAATTAACACTTTCAAAGGTCAATGTTTAAACAATATACGTAATATTTGACATTTCCTTATTCCATGTTTTAAAACATCATTAACTCAGTAGTCAGTGCTTTGGCTCTTATACTGTACTGACATGATGCATAACATATTTGTTTCTTAAATTCTCCGTAAATAAATTAAGAAATTACTAAGAAACTAAGCTAGCAACTCGATTCCTCGGGCAAAGTTGACCTTTGCTGAATTTGGTTATTGGTTCTAGGTTTCTTTTGTTCAAATAGCTCCTCGTGTTTAATAGCATTTATACATTCTTGGCTTTAAATGTTTAGGTTTGAGCGTTCCTGATGAAGGTAGATCCAGAAAAGCGCTTCGGACGCATGAAATTTAGAACGTGTTGTTTTCATTTACAAGGAAGTATGGGTCACACCTGAACTAACTATTAAAATTTTTAATTGATTTAATTATTCAGCATTTCAACATACATTTTGTTTGCCTTTAACAAACTGCTGTTTTTATCAAGCACGCACACTCAACTGAAAAACTAGGAGGGACGCACGTGACGTACGTGTGCAAGGGCATTCAGTTCTTTCATGTACATCCCCCTTAATATAATAACAGTAGCAGTCGTAGTTAGAATTGTCCATTTTAAGTTCATTTGTCCAACGGGGAAAAAAGTCAATCTTTGATTGTGATTGGCCAATCTTCCTCCTTAGAAACTTTCAATCGGAATGGCCGTTGAAACTTTTACATGATAAGTTAATTACTCATTTTATACCGATCACTTTTCATCTAATTCTGTGACATTAATCGGCCAATTTTAACCTAGCTTGGCATGGATGAAGTCCTTTGCAAATGATTCTGAAATCTTTCTGATTGTTTGAAAAACAGGGCCGGCAGAGACAATCTTTTAATTCTGTTTGACCAATTCCCGTAAATCTTATCCTTTAAAACTTGAACTTTATATATTGATGATCTGAATTAAGACCCTCTCCAAGCGATCCTCATTTTATGTTGATTGCTCTATCTATTTTGTTCATCTGCTTCTGACACGGGGAGGATTGCTGTTATTGCCTATCGCAATCAACAGTATATCCTAGAGTACCGTCCCTTGGTGTCTCCTGCAGATGAACAAATTTCCATCTTTATAGATAATAATTTAAGTTTGTTCAAACTTTATTATTAATACCTTTTTTTTTATTATTTTTACACTGCTGGACATAAGGAAGGAAGGGAAAAAAAATACTCAAGAGTACTTTTAATGTATTTTTGTTATTAATGCTATTTTATTGTCTATTATAATATCTGTCACGTTATATACTGTACAATGTCTCATGTTTGTTGCTTATACTATCATAATTGTTAATTGTAAATGCCCCCTGTGGGACCATGATTGGAATAATAAATATTTGATTTGATTTGATTTGATTGGGGGAGGGGGTTAGCATTGTGGCATAAGTGGCTCAGAGTTCCCATCGCAACCTCATAGATAAATTCATATTCATCTTGTTTGAAACAACCTTGTGCTGGTAAATTTAAAACAGACTTGGCATTAATGGTGTATGGAAGGTTGTCTACAAATAACCCTTATATGGTTCAATTTGGATAAATCAAGTTCTCCAGAGCGGCAACATTTGACTCTGAATGGCCACTTTTCAAAGAACTTCTACCCTGAAACAACTATGCCTGTTGTAATGAAACTTAAAAAGATTTATAAAAGCAATGCCATCCGTAAAATATTATTTGTCAGACTTTGTCTCCTCTCAAGCAATTAAATCATTGTAACAATAACCAGGAGAGCAATGTAAGCTCACAGGGGCCCCTAATTTCTTTCAATTTTTGTAATAGTTATAAACCCTTTCTAGTGTTCCGCTTTTAAAGAATCAGTTTAATTTCAAAACGAAATGTGTTCGTACTATATTATTCCTGATCATTCCTGATTTGCTCAATTTTGGAGTGTATCAACTTTTCTTCATGTTCACTCCTCGTTATGCTGGTTCCCTCCATTGCACCGAATGGGTATCTGAGTTACCCTAGCTGACAGGGAACAAGTTTAACTCCTCGTTAGTAATGTTTCCACAATAACTTTGCCGCCTACACATGCACTTTAAAAATTTTGTTGCACAAATACTTTATCGATTGGTAATAATACTGCATAGACTATGTAGACAAAGAAGTAAATATTTTCATCGACAATATTTGAAATAAAAGTATTTGTTAGTACATTTATTTGATATTTTACAAATTAGTTTACATCTGCTGCAGTAATCAGTTGTATAACAATCCAATATGTGTTGGTCCAATGATGATCTTTTTTGTTTAGATTTGTTTGATGTAAGATGAAGACACTCGTTGATTGATACTTAAATGTATTTTCTGTCTGTCCGCTTTGAGCTGAAATGGCTTTACTGAAATTGTGCAAATGTCCTTCAGGCGAATACCACAATGTCATGCAATTATTGCACTTTTCGTACACTATGATAAACTTTCTGTGCACAATTACTGGTGTTGACCCTTTGTGAAATATTTATTTTTAAAATGTGAAGAGTTTATTTTCAATTTCGTAAAAAACGCCGTGAAATGAAATGATTAATCTTTTTTCTTGTCTTAAATAATTCATTATATAATTAGTTCCGTCAATCTATCAAATTTGAATCTGATTTTTCAATCGAGAAAATTACGTTTCTCGACAACACCAGATTTAAAAATACCGGGTCATCACAAATGATCTTTAAACATAGAAAACTGACTAAGACCATGCAGTTTTTCTCTGAAGATTTGTGATCCAAAATACTACAGTGCTCTCAAAGCATTCTTTACAATCAAGCCACCAAACTTAACCGAGTTTGCTACCCGGACGCCAAACTCAACTACCGTTTGGAACAAATCAGATAAAAAAAAACCTAAGTCATTAAGAGGATATAGAAACGGAAAAATCACAGAAGCCTACGGAAAACCCCAAACTGCTCAAGAAGAAGACAGATCTGACATCAGTTGTCCACATGCATTTGTCATTTTGAACAATGAAATATGTTTAAAATAAATTGTCGTGTTATTGAAATTGCCCTTCCTTAAAAGAGATTTTCCAATCCCATACCGTTAAGGTTTTCAACAGACCAAACCATCTCAAAGATATTCTAGTCAAATCTTAAGTGAGAAACAAGAAACTTCGTAAATCGAGGTTTCGTGTAAATCGTGCAAAAGAACCGTTTGTATCTAACATCGATAATGCTTTCGTCAGCACAGTAGCAAAGAAGCGATAATATATATATATATATATATATATATATATATATATGCTATACATGTACTTGTAAAATAGAGTATAGTATCTAAGTTGTTACTTTTAGAACTTGCAAGCTGCAATATGTTGGTGAAACAGAAACACATTTTAACATAATAATTAAGGCGTAATACAAACTCAGTACCACTGTAATTTCTAGAGGAGGCAAACATAATTAAAGGAGTACATTAGTTTGCTTCTGCAGACAATCCAAATCGATGTTTACATTCCAGACAAAATGAACTAGTACGCGTCTTAATATATACTTTGATGCTCTATTATTTACTCAGATACCGTACAATTGTTGTGAATTTTCCAAAGATTAGAATTTCCTTTGTGATATTAAGGTACGTAAATGTTCTAAAGTACGAAGAGTTCAATGAGAGGTGAAACTAGAAATGGAAATAGTTAGTTTATTCAAACATCTAAAACACAAAAATAAGTAAAACATTGTATTGTTTTGAATTAGGAAGTAAATTTTGTCGTTTGAATTGTTTCACATTTTTCATGTCGGGGCGTTTTATAGATGACTATATACGGTATGGGGTTTTCTCGTTGTTAATATAAAGGCTGTAATATAAAGGGTGTCACTGCTTATATTTTCATCATATGAACAATGAAAATCATATATCACATCTCCTGATTTTTATATTGATACTCTTAAAAGAAAAAAATGTTGCAGTCATATTTAGTTCATTTTATCACATATTTTTTCAAAAGCCCTTGAATTCCTATCACTCTACATTGTTCTGTGACATAGTTCAATCTGATAAATCTAGTCTGCAGTACAATGGACATATACATCGCGTGTCCTTATCACTTTATTCCCAGTAATTTAGAATACCACTAGCTTCGATTCATTTTTAAAGTGATGTAATCTGCAAATTAGTATACTAGATGGCAGCCGCAGCGTCACGTTAATGTGTCTCAGGGTAACGACATATCAATAAATAAACCATACATTATGCATCACAAAAATGGCACGCAAACAGAAAGATATGTAAAAATTTAAAAGAATCCGTGTTTTCTACAACACTTGTTGATTTTGTTTGCATACCATATACAATGTCAACATTACTATTGATTTAACTTCTTTCTGTGTTTCTTTTTGCTTTCCATTTTTTCATTTTTTTTTTATTTCCCATCATTTTCAGTTTTGCTCGACTATAAAACATTTCTAGGTATCCGTAAAAAAAAGAACTCAAGTTAACGTTAAAAACATACTGATTTCTTTAGTCATACGCAAATGGCTGTTCTAGTATAAAATTGCCTATATCAGCAAACATTCCGTTACCATGCCTTAATGCAGTCTCATTGGCATATTCCGGAGGATCGGGGTATGTAAAATGTATTGAATATGCATCTTTTGTCCAGTTAAATGGTTGTTCAACATTGAAATTTCTAAACTGAGGGTGAAAAGTTGGATGACATTTTAGATAGTAACACATAACCTGTAAATGGGGTTCGATGAAAACAGTTTCAGGGTATTTTTCAAATGTTTTGTAAGGGAGTTCTATAGCGTTGAAGAAAAAGTCACGTGATCTATAGTTTACGAGCGAGTCTTGCCAATGTTTGATATAATGTGAACCAGGTTTCGACATTAAAACTCCTAAATTAATTGAATCTGGAAATCCTGGTCGAGGCATGTGGTCAAGGTTTAAAATTGTGTCATGCTGTTTTGAAATTAAATCATCAACTGGCTTCAACCATAGGACATCCCAATCACTATAAATCCCGCCATATTTTAGCAAAACGTCTGCTCTTATTATATCACTTCTATGCTGCGTGTACAAAATCTGGTGTCCAAAAACATGGGTTGGTGTTTCTCGGTGTATGTAAACCACTCTCGGGTCCTTCTTTATCTTTTGTAAATACTCGCCATACATTAGTCCATCGCCATGAATGTATACCTTGTCAGGTTTAACAATTGTCAAAATACTCCTCAAGCACAAATACATTGTAAAGTCCATTGGTTTATGTCCGAACCATACCATGTGGAAAATCTTTGGTATAACTCCTGGGAGTAACGGTTTCACCTTTATTTGTTCTGAATTACCATATAAAATCCGACGTGCTGATCTTCCAAACTCGGAATCTGCATGCATTATTTGTGCAGGTAACACATTTTGGACGTGTACACAAAGCTTACTCTGCAAAATGGATTTATTAACATTTTCAAGGATGTCACAAAAATGAAGACCAGTGACTAAGGGTTGGCTAATGTTGTTTTTGTACAGTTTGATAAATGATTTGAGTCTGTCATTTCGACGAGAAGAAGAGACAAAACTTAATTGTTTCATGTTTTTCGTCATGGCAACATTAAATTTATTCTTACGAATAAAACGTAAAGATTTTAATGGAAAGAAATCATCTGAGAAGTATATTCCGCCATCATGATCTAATATATCAAACGCAACAGTGATTCCACAGCCTTCTACGTCATCCTTTGAAGACGGTGGGAGTTTCTGAACCTTGAAACTAGGAATCGATACTAATAGGTCTGTAAGCCAAAAATTATAATGTTCGTTGCTGTCAGTAATGTTATATCTTGTAAAGAGGGTAATAGAGTCTGGTCTCATAGTTTTCCATATTGCAAGTATAGATAGATATTGCCTGAACTCAATTGTACGGTTGTAACACCACATATAATAAACATGATTAGGAATGAAATTATTCTCCAAATCTTTGAATAATAATTTGTCATACCCTAGAAATAGATCCGGCAAGTTTCGCAAGACGTCAGACTTATTACTAATTTCGGAGATTTCATTCGATTTGCCCTCCTGAAATTGTTTTATAATTTTTGCAACATTTCGTTCGTTTTTGGCATCTTCCGTTGTAACACATTTGGTGGCATTTTTCGGGATGATCATGTAAATAAAAAGAATGGAAAGTATGAAAATGAGAGTGGTTTTCCATAGTCCTCTCTTTCTGTTCATCATTCAAGCGACAAAAACTGTGTTACCCTACAGTGTTCTTGTTTTATCCTGAAAGAAAATGAAAACATGGCCATACATATATTAAAACTGTATATGATAATTGTATAAGAAGTTCTGTCATACTGAAAAGGTAAATCATTCTTTTTATGTTGAAACTTAAAAATGTCTATGGTGAGAAAATCGTATGATTTGATTGCCCTGCATACACCACCTTTATATGATGGAAACCAATAGTTTGGAAAGCAAGCAAGTTATTATTAGACTTCAGCTGTATAATGTATTATACTTTATAGACAACCGAATTACACAACTGAACCCTTATATAGTTGAAGCAAGTCTAATACCTGCGTCACTGTGTATAATATGATTGAAATTTCAAACTATAAATTGGCAAACAGGAAGTATAGCTGCAAAAATCAAATCATTCTCTTTCATAGTAGCCATGAACACTTGGACGAAAGTTTTCTATCCATGATCTTTCGGGCGGACGGACTGATCGACGGATTTGTAGTGTAACTAGACCTGCTTTTGCCGTTGGCGATGCAGGTAAAATGAAAGCGGAAGATACCAAGAATACAATAAAATTTCACAAGCCGAGAGAGAAACTTTGGCTATTAATTGATTTATGAGAACGTTACATTTGAGAACACTTTCGTAAGACTGTTGAATGGGCATCCGACGCTAAGGCACCATGTTCGTAAATATGATAAAATTTTGTTAATCCATCTCATAACATTTTTCATTCCTAAAGAAATATAGCAAACTAAGTTCACTCCCGGATCTTGATGTATTTAGTGAAGTTCAATTGACAGTTTCCTGTGTAATGTATTGTGATGCTCTTTCGCCTATTTTTTCCGATCCTCAGTGGCCGATTGGTCTATGTAGTCGAACTACTATATCACTAGCCTGTCAACACTGAGGTTGTGAGTTTAAATCCCGCACATGACAGGTGCGCTAGATTCCAATCTTAATTGACTAGGATTGTCAGTTTTCTTATCGAAGAGTGGTCACCGTGGTTCTCTCCGGGCACTCCGGCTTCCTCCACTTATAAACACTGACCGCCACGAAATAGCGAAATAGCGCTGAAAGTGTCGTTAATAACCAATAAATCAATAATCAATCGTCTTTTTTTCTATTGTTTATGGTGTTGTGTCTTTCTTCAATTCATGATTTTTGGTTACTCTTTGGTATTGTCTTACTTTTAACGTATACAAGTTTTTATTTGAAAGAATAAAAAGTACACATAGATTAAAAACAAAGATGGTATACTATTTAAACTTATTGATGTGCATTGCTGTCTACGTTTTGTTGTACCATTGGCAACTAATATAATTCAATAAAATACAATTCGATATTTTATTTATGGTTCACCTTATGCATACAGACATAAAATACAATAATTAAAGATACATTTGTATACATAAGCCAATCTATTTGAGCTACCGAATTATTATTGATATTTTAACTATGTCTTACCCTGTCGTGTAATTGCCCCCTGTTTGAAAAGACCAGAAAACCTTTAAGTGGCTTATATATTGGTTATGAAAAAACAATACATACGAATGTAAGTGTACAGGTAGTTTAAAAATATTTAAAATACGCTATACTGTAGACATATGCAAACGTATTACAAGTTTTATGTATATAAGCAGTTTAAATTTTTCGGTATGTAAACATCACATATATTTTTGTTACAGTTATTAGCAAATATAATAGGTAGTATACTGAATCAATACGCGTGTAAAATACAATACCGTGTCCGAGTTTTATTTTAAATAATTTAGGCCCATGGTGTACTGCAACTTGGTTAACATTAAATATGTTTCTGTTACTGCAATTAGCAAACAGTCATGAAATATGTGTATAAACAATGTATTCTCAATGTTCACAAGCCCAGTAGACAGTACTTCAGTACTGACATGAAAGTACAGATTTTGTTTTATCAAAAGCTGTTACAAAATTTAGGAAATTTATTTTAAATTAAGGAATATATCTCCCTCATGCAAAGCTCTGATCCTTGGCTGTACATTTTTGTCCTTTTTTGGTTGATAAGCTTTTCCTTTTTTTTTAATAATCTTTGGATTTTCAAATATTTTGGCCTCGATCATCACAGAAGAGACACTTATTAATTATCGAAATGCACATCTGGTGCAGAACAATTGGTATCGTTAATGTTATTAGCTCAAGTACCTTGTCCATGTATTTTCTTAATAATTTAGGACCAAGATGTTTAGCAAATTGGTAAATTGTTCTTTTATAATATCAACTTAAGTGTACGGTTTTCGGTCCTATTAAATAGACTGCCTGTAGTTCAGTGGTTGTCGTTGGTTCATGTCTGTCATATTTTTTTTTACGTAAATTGTTTTGTTATAAATTAGGCCGTTAGTTTTCTCAATTGAATTGTTTCATATTTTTTTTATGTCGGGGCGTTTTCTAGCCGACTATACGGTATGGGTTTTTCTCATTGTTGAAGGCCGTACGGTTGCCTATTATTGCTTACATCCACTTCATTTGAATTTGTACAGAATTTTATCGTTAAGATCTATATTTAATGTTATGTTGCACATTTTCATATAAACTCGTTACTTATAGGAAAAGGTAGTAAACTATTTTATCTAAACACACAAAATTAAATAGTTAAAATATGAATTTGACCCTATCGTTTACAATACCATTATTCTAAAACTGTTTGCAGCAGATTCCATTGAGTGTGTAGCCAAAGGTAATATCTTTGGTTAGCTTGCTTGTTAGCTGAACCGTGAAGTCATTGTTAGGTTAGGTAAACTACCCTACTTTAAGAATAGACTAGTCCGACAGAAAACCAATCGATCGGTCTGTTGGACTATGCTACTTCGAAAGGAGGGTAGTATACTTGACCTAATAATGACTTCACAGTTCAGCTAACAAGCAAGCTAACCAAAGATATTACCTTTGGCTACACACTCAATGGAATCTGCTGTAAAGAGACCAACAAAGTATAAAACATATATAGCTTATCTGTAATTTAAATTATATAACGGAAGGGAGAAAGCTTTTGTTTGAACAAAATATTGAAATATACCATTAGTTTAATGTGATCCTTCATAGCTGAGTGTCATGATAATGTGTCAAAAGTATGATCTGATTTCTAATTTTAACCATTGCTAAGGTGAATACAGATACTTGTCATGGGTTTCTAATCTAATTCCGTCCATTCAGTACGACACTTAAACGGGAGCTCGTTTTGCTGTGCTGGATGTAAAAATTTAAAATCCTGTTACGTCCGACATATGTGAACTTTTAATTATGTACCGTTGTTCCAAACTTTTTGCATATCAAAGAACTGTTATCACAAAATTTCTTTCAAAATGCGAATGAGTTATCTGTTACAATACAAAATGTTCTCAACATTCCCTCTTTATTTTGACAATCACATCCACACGGGATCTTATTTTTCTTGTTTAGAAAATGTATAAGAAATGTGGCACTAGACTTCAGGAAGATAACAATTAACTCAATTGCATTATAACATATATCTTACAGAGTTCATAATTCTATACAAAAGTACTCAAATGGAGATGTTAGGTCGATTTACATCAGTGATAAAGTACGCCAACAAAAAAAAAAAAAAGACCAATCTAATTAAAATTCATATCTATATTAACTCGCGTGTACAGCCCTTGCACGGTCGGTCATATGAGGATAACGAAATCCGAGATCTCTATATTAATTAGATTGCATAAAGACTTCTAGAGGTAAACAACGAGTTTAGATAAGTAATAAATAACAAATGTTGCAAGTGCGACCCCCCCCCCCCCCCAAAAAAAAAAACAACAAAACAAATAAAAAAAAAAACAAACAAACAAACAAACAAACAACCAACAATACCAACAACAAACCAGAAAGCGCTATAATTCAACAACGAAAATATAATACATGTAACAACTTTTATTAAAAATAGTGTTAAGCTAAATCAAACGATTTAAAGGACAATGAAACTTTTTTTGCGTTATAAATATCATTACAGTACTGTTATATGCTGGTGTAAAATGCCGCCTAGTAGAACAGGTAGAATTATACTTCTTCAACAAAATGTCTATATTTGTGACAAAAGTTATGTTTAGACAATTAATGATATTCTTATTCAATTTGAGACTATTTTTGGAAGAGCCGATCGAGTCATTGGTTCTCCTTTCCTTTTGTCAGTTCATGTTTATATGACGGATTACCTGAATATGTAGGACTGTCCATGTTAATAAAAAGAAAGTGTTGTGTTCTTGTCTTTGTAATTGTTCCTGGCTGTTATCATAGTATAATTTGTAACTTACCTTTTGTGGTATGATCTAATCCATGGCGATAGATAACTATTGATCAACTGATACCTAGCAATATAAATCATTATCTTCTTATAACTAATTCATTGGCCATATGTTACATACAAAACAGTTTTTATCTTGTATATTAAATTTGAAAAATAATTAGCGATGTAGGATCAATGATTCTTCTCTAAAAATATTTATATAATATATATTCGTGTTGTTATCTTCTACTTCATACTACAGTCTCTTCGGTGATGCCCGAGGCCAAAATATTTGAAAATCCAAAGCTTATTTAAAAAAAAGATAAAGACCTATAATCCAAAAAGGACAAAAAAAATAAAGCCAAAGCCAGGCAAGGAATCAGAGCTTTGCATGAGGGAGGTATATTCCTTAATTTAAAATAATTTCTAAAAATTTTGTAACAGTATTTGATTAAGTGATAAAGTATATTTGATTGAGCATCGGGAAAACCAAACTAACTGATGTACTAAATGAATGACGGATGGGTAACAAACTAACTGATGTACTAACTGAATGACTGACGGGTAACAAACTAACTGATGTACTAACTGAATGACTGATGGGTAACAAACTAACTGATGTACTAACTGAATGACTGACGGGTAACAAACAAACTGATGTACTTACTGAATGACTGACGGGTAACAAACTAACTGATGTACTTACTGAATGACTGACGGGTAACAAACTAACTGATGTACTTACTGAATGACGGATGGGTAACAAACTAACTGATGTACTTACTGAATGACTGACGGGTAACAAACTAACTGATGTACTTACTGAATGACTGACGGGTAACAAACTAACTGATGTACTTACTGAATGACGGACGGGTAACAAACTAACTGATGTTCTAACTGAATGACGGACGGGTAACAAACTAACTGATGTACTAACTGAATGACGGATGGGTAACAAACTAACTGATGTACTAACTGAATGACGGATGGGTAACAAACTAACTGATGTACTAACTGAATGACTGACGGGTAACAAACTAACTGATGTACTAACTGAATGACTGACGGGTAACAAACTAACTGATGTACTAACTGAATGACTGATGGGTAACAAACTAACTGATGTACTAACTGAATGACTGACGGGTTACAAACTAACTGATGTACTAACTGAATGACTGACGGGTAACAAACTAACTGATGTACTAACTGAATGACTGACGGGTTACAAACTAACTGATGTACTAACTGAATGACTGACGGGTAACAAACTAACTGATGTACTAACTGAATGACTGACGGGTTACAAACTAACTGATGTACTAACTGAATGACTGATGGGTAACAAACTAACTGATGTACTTACTGAATTACGGATGGATAACAAACTAACTGATGTACTTACTGAATGACGGACGGGTAACAAACTAACTGATGTACTAACTGAATGACGGATGGGTAACAAACTAACTGGTGTACTTACTGAATGACTGATAGGTAACAAACTAACTGATGTACTTACTGAATGACGGATGAGTATCAAACTAACTGATGTACTAACTGAATGACTGATGGGTAACAAACTAACTGATGTACTTACTGAATGACTGATGGGTAACAAACTAACTGATGTACTAACTGAATGACTGATGGGTAACAAACTAACTGATGTACTTACTGAATGACTGATGAGTAACAAACTAACTGATGTACTAACTGAATGACTGATGGGTAACAGACTAACTGATGTACTTACTGAATGACGGATGGGTAACAAACTAACTGATGTATTAACTGAATGACTGACGGGTAACAAACTAACTGATGTACTTACTGAATGACGGATGGGTAACAAACTAACTGATGTACTTACTGAATGACTGACGGGTAACAAACTAACTGATGTACTAACTGAATGACGGATGGGTAACAAACTACTGATGTACTTACTGAATGACTGATGGGTAACAAACTAACTGATGTACTTACTGAATGACGGATGGGTAACAAACTAACTGATGTTCTAACTGAATGACTGATGGGTAACAAACTAACTGATGTACTTACTGAATGACGGATGGGTAACAAACTAACTGATGTACTTACTGAATGACTGACGGGTAACAAACTAACTGACGTATTAACTGAATGACGGATGGGTAACAAACTAACTGATGTACTTACTGAATGACTGACGGGTAACAAACTAACTGATGTACTAACTGAATGACGGATGGGTAACAAACTAACTGATGTACTAACTGAATGACTGACGGGTAACAAACTAACTGATGTACTTACTGAATGACTGACGGGTAACAAACTAACTGATGTACTAACTGAATGACGGATGGGTAACAAACTAACTGATGTACTTACTGAATGACTGATGGGTAACAAACTAACTGATGTACTAACTGAATGACGGATGGGTAACAAACTAACTGATGTACTAACTGAATGACTGACGGGTAACAAACTAACTGATGTACTAACTGAATGACTGATGGGTAACAAACTAACTGATGTACTAACTGAATGACTGACGGGTAACAAACTAACTGATGTACTAACTGAATGACTGATGGGTAACAAACTAACTGATGTACTAACTGAATGACTGATGGGTAACAAACTAACTGATGTTCTAACTGAATGACTGACGGGTAACAAACTAACTGATGTACTAACTGAATGACTGATGGGTAACAAACTAACTGATGTACTAACTGAATGACTGACGGGTAACAAACTAACTGATGTACTAACTGAATGACTGACGGGTAACAAACTATACTTCCCATTTACTTCCTAGATTTGAGTATAACAATAAACAACCAGGAAAAGTTTAAATTGGCTCAGAATTAGAGACAGCATCAGAAAATTCTTTAACAGTAAATATGTTCATTGTTTTGTAAATAAATCAGACAGTTAGTTTTCTAGTTTGAATGTTTTACATATTGTCATTCCTGGGTCTTTTATTGCTGACTATGCAATATGGGTTTTGCTCATTGTTGTAGGCTGTATGGTGACCTATAGTTGTAAACTTCTATGTCATTTAGTCTCTGGTGGAGAGTTGTCTCATAGGCAATCATACCACATCTTCTTACTTTTTTAAGTACATGTATCCACCACTTTTTGACGTCGTAATTGAGTTGAAGACAAGATAGCGCTACCAAATTTTAGAATGAGCCATGAACTTGCAAACAAATGAATGAAACAACGAATAAGTCTATATAGATAAATAAGTCTAAAATTACTGACATGAATTATTAGCTTGGCATAAAAAAAGCTTTCTGTAATCTGAATATTTTTATGTTTTGTTAGCTATTGTTAGCTTTAGTTTGTGTGCAAAAATGGACGGATACTATGCGGTTATTCAAAACCCTTAGTCTCGGAAAAACAGACAAAACAATGAGAAAAGCCCATATCGTATAGTCATGCAGCTAAAGAAGGCCCGACATGAAAAATGTGAAACAATTCTAACATGAAAACTAACGGCATAATTCATAACAATACAATTTATGAAAAAACAAATATGACACACATGAACCAACGAAAACCACTGACATTAAAGTCTCCTGACTTGGGACAGGCACAAAAGAGTGTGCTATATGTATCTTTATTTCCGGTCAATTTTTTTGGCGAGTGTTCCCCAATTTATCGCACATTTCTGACAATAATAATATAATTTTGAAGATGTTAGCTTTGAAATATTGGCCGCTGAAAACTAATTTAATCTATTTGGTGTTATAGTCTATTGTATCCTGACAATTATTCAACCTATTAGAATAAATATTCTTATTATCTATATAATAGTATAACGTGTGGCTTGTCATGACTCGATGGTACACCACATTGGAACTGTATTTATACCACCATAAGAGTATCACATTTTTACACTGCAAATCTTCCTTCACATTTATCCAATGAAATAACCCCATACGATGTTTAAATTTGAGACGAGTATGATGTTTTTCCCTCATATCATGTTGATACTGAATACGATGCTTCAAACAAAGATCTATATTTTTCTTAACGTGTTATTGAAAAAATGAATAAAATCGAAAGATGTAAAGACCTTTTCTAAAGATGTGTCAATATAACATTGATGTACAAATATAAATGAACACATACGGTGTTATTTTGAAATTAGTTTTCGTGGGTTATAAACTGTCTTTATATCAATATACTGATTTTATTACCTACTGTCGTCGGGTATTTTATATATTAATTCGTAAGAGCCCTCTAATATTTATTTTGTAAATATATATACAATGGTAATTTCAAATAGTATAAATATACCATTGAACAATAGTATTCAAAGAAATGAAACAGTTATTAACGAAAATATTAGAACCGAACCTTAAAACTAAGAAATAGAAAAAACCAACATGTAAATATATAGCTAATAGCCAACCCAGCGTCTACAAAGATAAGGGAACAAGGCTATTACAGTGTTTCTGGGGGAAGGGTATCTCCGAAGACAGATACATTTTTCATATTACTTTTCACTCGTCAATATTGTTCATTAACACATTTAAAGACCAAAAAGCATGAATTCCACTATTCTACTTTTGACCACTACGTATATGACCAACTTACCATTTTCATTTTAACGTCCAGAGAGACATTTTTCTCTACAAGTTATTGTACGGGGAAAATCACTTGTATATGTGTACCTATCATTTTTTTTTTCAGACGAACGTATTAAGTATTGACCTGTCGCGAAAATGATGATAAAAAAATGCTAAAATGTTGCCTTGAAAGGCTGTAGGATTGTACAGCTGACCTTTTTAAAGACATTTCACAGTTTATATACAGTTTTGTAAACATAGTTTCACCTGACTATATATGCTATTTAGATTTTCTTAAAAAAGCACACAGAAAAAAAAGTTTTCATTATTGTAACCAATAGAAAAACATCGCTATTACAATGTTGCAAACAAATTTGGTATAAGACGAGAGGCAATAAAAAGAACGCTTATTTAAAAACATTATTTAAATCCGACAATTTTTTCAGTTCAGATTTTTATTTCGTTATTCTTTTTTTCGTGTGGATTAATC